ATAGCCAGGATTTCATTTTAGGGGGGGGGGCGGTAGTGAGCACGCGAATCACTTAAAGAGCGCGCGTAGCGCGCTCCCTAGTGGGGGGGGGGGGGGGGTGGGTGCAGGGAGCGGAAGCTTTGAAAGAAAACGATTCGTTGTACCTTTCTCGACTCATAATCCTTGTCTGAATTCAGTCCGACCCTTCTGCGCATAGCGCGGAAGCTTTGACGTATTATTAAACAAAGAAGACGATTCGTTGTACCTTTCTCGACCCTTAATTATTATCTGTATTTAGTCCCCCTCACGCGCGAAGCGCGGAAGTTATGACGTTTCATTAATTTATTAGAGAAAGAGAACGATTCGATGTACCGTTCACGACTCTTAATCCTTATCTAAATTCAGTTTCCTCCCCTCCCGCGTAAAGCGCGGAAACTTTGAATTTTCATTAAATTATTAGAGAAAGAAGACGACTCGAAGTACCGTTCTCGACTCTTAATCCTTGTCGGAAATCAGTCCCCTCCTCCCCCCTCCTCCCTCGCGAAGCGCGGAAGCTTTGACGTATTATTAGACAAAGAAGACGATTCGTTGTACCTTTCCCGACCCTTAATCCTTATCTGTATGCAGTCCCCCTCTTTCTAAACGGGGAAGCTTTGACGTTTCATTAAATTATTAGAGAAAGAAGACGATTCTTTGTTCCGTTCTCGACTCTTAATCCTTAATTTGAACTAAATTTTCCCCGTTCCGCGCGAAGCGTGGAAGCTTTGACGTGTAATTTAATTATTAGAGAAAGAAAACGATTCGTTGTACCCTTCTCGACTCCTTTTCCTTTTTCTTCCTACGTCCTTTTACTTTTCTTCTTCTCTTTCTCTCTCTTTTTTTTTTGGCCGGCGTTTTTTTTTTTTTTGGGGGGGGGGGGGGGCGACCGCCCCCATCCCCCCCCTGGCTATCAGCCGAGTAGTATTTTGTGAATGATATTTACAAAAACCTTGATCTATAATGAATTTAGTATCATATGGAAGTTGCTGATAGAATACAATACCAGATACTCGTTCAAACTTTCAAATCTATGTCGACCACCCTTCCTGTATACATTTCCTCACTCTTTCAGCAACAGAGAACATCCTATTCTCTTAGGTCTTCATCAGCTCCTACCTTTGTCATTCCCAAATCCCGTAAACAGGCTGGTTTCAAATCCTTTCAGTCTCTGGAACAAACTCCCCTCCTTCTTAAGAAACAGTACTTCACTAGATTTCTTCAAAAAACAACTGAAAACTTATCTGTACAACTGCTCTTAAATTGTTGAGTGTCTAAGAGAGCAGCGCCTTGTAACCTTTAGAAGGCGCTATATAAATCAAATTATTATTATCATTATTATTATTTTTTAATGGAAAAGGCAGTGACACCCATATTTATATTACCAATATTATAGCAAAAGATCGCACAGTATTAATACACCAATCGCTGGTCAGATCTGCACTTAAAAGCAAAGACTCTCCACCTGCTTTTAACAGGCTTGACGATGGCTTTAGGCGGAGTGCGAAAGTCAAATATCATGCTTAGTTTTAGAGTTTCCTGCCACCACCACACAAACTTACTACGCCTTTTATTTTATCATAATACACATTATTGCAAAGGTTTTTGTTCTTCTTTTTCTAACGGTCCCCTCTAAATCGGAGGGGGCTTCCAAAAAAGCGGCCCTTTTGTCAAAATATAGTATTTTATGAATGATATTTAAAAAAAACCTTGAACCATAATTAATTTAGTATCATATGGAAGAAAATAAAATCGAATACAATTTGATACTAATTTTAATGGAGTTTTGATTAACTAACATCGCAACTTTAAGTAAAAAAACATGATTTTGTGTGATTAAAAGAAAAAGAGGTAATTTTAATCAAAATAAATAATTGTCCATAAATCCGAATCGGAGCGGTTTCTTTATTTATTTATTTGTAACTTTCCAGAACTCTTTCCATATACCAGGACAATATCTTGTGTAAAAGAGAGGCTTATATCTTGTTGTGGTAATGTTACAGCAACCCAAAGTTATAGGCTTGACTTCTACAAAAACGAAATTTTTGCACATAATTATGCCTATTAACTATATGCAAATACGTGTATTTGTAAATTGAGGACCTATTTTGGAGTCTTTAAATCGAGTTTTATAGATAACATTTGAGCTAAACCTCAAATCACCATGGTTTTCGTGTCATATCAATTTCGATGAGATATGTAGCGTGTATAATATAGATTTTGAGCCAAAACTGTGCTATTTTGTGGATATGTGCTCATCTAAATAGTTACAAATAAAAACACCTCTCCTAGCTTGATTAATGGAATATACCGTTTTAAAAAAAGAATTCAGCCAATTTAAAGAAAATACAATTTGTTTTCAATAATTCATAAGGGCCCATACGTATAGTTATTACTAGCTTCGAATATTCATAATTTTCACATTTTCTGTCTGATTTTGTTCAAACGTTCACCAGTCCGTTTATGTGATCTTTCTTCCTTGTTTTTTGTTTTAGTACACTGTTGGTCATGATAATGGAATAATTATTAGTACTCCAATTCATGGAATGATTTTCACAATGATTTATTCCTAATATATCTGAATGATAGTATACATTATCAGATTATATTGATGATAATTTGTGAGTGTTTGTTTTGCGTGACTACTGAGGTAAGTGTGTGCTACTATGCTAATCAACTACGGGACCTACGTCCTGAAGTCATAAATGACAGTAATGAGGATTAATGCCTCACAAAATGGCACTAATATAGCTGATCGACACGGTTTAGATCCTGGAGGCTCACAGTAACAAGGCCATTGCTTTGCCACTGAAACATGACTATACGCAGCGGGAGCTAGAGTGTGGGGCCGCCCCCACAAATACAAAAAAAAAAAAAAAAAACACAAAGAAAATACAATTGCATTTTGCCCCGATCCCCAACAGAAAAAATCCACTGTGTGGCCTTGCCTTCAACCATAATGCATGGCCCTACACAATGTTTTTTCCTGTTTGGGACTGGGGGGAAATGCAATGAATTATTGATAACTTATTTCATTTTTTTGTTTGTATTTGAAGGTTCTTGCCCCCATTTCACGTTTCATGTTCTCCCCTGCACATATCGTCTTATACACGCATACACTTGCAATGTCTAATGCCGCATAAGAGGCCAGCGGAAAAATATCAAGAACAATATAATTATAGTAGTAGTAATAATAGCCACATTATCACCGTTTATATATAAACGATGATTATCTATCATATTTCATATATCATGAACATTTACAAATATTCTGAATATTTCACGCAGATTGCAATGAGGAAGTGCTCCCTTGAACCATGTTTGTTGAAGGCATGTTTATTGATGTGCACTGTATTCATTGGAGTAGCTGCTGGATGTGTGTGGGTGTGTGTGTGTGGGGGGGGGGGACAAGGGGACAACCCCCATGTTTAGCCATTAAACAAAGGGGTTATTCCCCAAAGAACTTAGGTGTCCAGGCCTTTACCTCATTGGAATCTGCGTGAAATATTCAGAATATTTATAGATGTTCAGGATATATGACTACACCTCACCTTTATACAGGCATAAGCCAGTTGTTTAGCAAGAGCAGCGACGTCATAACCAAAATGTTGTCTATCCAGGAACACATACCTCACAACATTTTATTAGCTCATGTTCCCAATCCAATCATCCTTCATGCTTACGTTAACGTTATTTCCCTTCTCTCGTTAATCCTCTCTCTCTCTCTGTCTGTCTGTCTGTCTCTCTCCCCTCTTTCGTTCTCTGTTTCTCTCGATATATGTATTTTAAATCCACTTTGTTATTGATAAGTTTTTTGTTCTTCTTCCATATTCTCCATTCTTGAATAATTCTCACCCTTCCTTTTAATTTGTCCTCTACCCCTCAATCACTTTGCTTCGTGTTTCACTTTTCAATTTCATCCTCTTCCATTCTCCTTTCCCATCATTCACCTCTATCTCTTCCTTTTCTATTGGTCTTCTTCTTCTCCAGCTGTCCTTTCCCCAATTAATCTTATTTCCTAGTTATATGAGTATAACTCTCTCGCTTTGACTGATGTATATGTGTGTTTTACTTTGTTGTAAATATATTTACTCCGCTATAGAGTCTACATTATGATTTCATGTTATGTATATTGTATATATTACTTCTGTTTATATCGTTTGGGTTGTTTTTACCCATGTCCCTCAAGGACAGCAGGTATTGTTAATAAAAAGGCAAAACTGTTTAAATGAAACTGAATTAAAATAATAATAATAATAATATCTCTGTTGCTCTTTCGCCCTTACTCTTTCTCTCTCTCTCTCTTCCTCTTTCCCTCTATTTCGTACTTTCTGCTCAAATATTAACGTGAAGTGGAGATTGTCGTACTTTCTTTAATAATGTTGTCATTATTAATCAGCAATAATACAATTTGTTTACGATTTCAAGTAGTGTCACATTAAAAATAAATCAAATTGACATAAAATTGAACTTATTTTATCTACAACGTTATAACAAGCTGTACATACGATTTGTTGACATGAATGGAGCTCCTTCTGCTTGCATGCTCGCAAGCAAACGGGTAGAAAAGAATTATTATAGAGGGCGACATACCATTACATACATATTGTGCACATACTATTGTGAATATTATTATGAACACAGGGCTGACTAGGATCAAAGTTGTTAGTGGAAGACCAACTTCATACCAGGCTTATTTCAGTTTCAGTTACAGGTTAAAATAGCGGTCATGCACACAAACAAAAATGCAATTAAAACAAAAAACAATCATCAAAATACAAAGTGTCAAATAAAGAAGTCGAAACAAAATCGCAAAAATGAAAAGCAAATACGAATCAGTGGCGGATCCAGGAATCTCTTACCGGGGGGGGGGGGGGCACAAAATCGCATGGGGTGAAATATATGAAAAACGATGGAGCGAGGCGTCAGCGGCGAGGGAGCTGTAGGAATTCTAAATCCTAAAATTTCATGCGCTCTTTTATCTCACCACCTGGTCAACAGTTGCAGATTAGCACATAACTTTTCGGCGGCTTGGAGCATGGGGTCAAAGGAAAGCGGCTTAAATCCACTCCATTCTTTCACCTCTCTGGTCATGACAAGATTGTAATTGTTTATGGAATGTCTAACAGGAGAAGGGTGAATTATCTTGCTCCTTCTCCTTGCTCCTTCGAACAAGACCTTTGTAGAGGAGGGGGATTGTTTATCTGTCCTACTACTGTCAATGAAAAGATACAAATACGTCACAGTGATTTGAAAATAAAGACATGCCAAGATAAGGCCACAGTAAAATCACCATCAGTATAATGGACATGGTTTTACCATATATTGTCACAATACGAAATATTACAGTGCTATAAGTACCGTCACAGGAAAGACGTTATAGTGGCCACAGTGATATTGAAGTACGGACATTATGTTGCCAAAGTATTGTCTCACTACAGACACGATAATAAATCCTAACTTTTTCCAAATGTTGCAGATGTAAATTTCATGAAATATGAATGAAACCAGGGCTGTGGTTATATGCTTATTACATTTGCGGTTATGAGACACATGCTCATGCAACACTGAACTCCACGATAGTTTCCTACACGAGCTGAATTCTTCAACCTTCCATCTAATAATCTAAATATGATTCCTCATTGGACTCGTCATCGGGCCCCCCGTCATCAAAATCGTCATCGTCGAGCTCGTCAATGAACTCGTTATCTTGATCATGAAATGAATGGTCATCAGACCCGTCATTTAACTCGTCATCGTTGGGCTCGTCATCGGGCCCCCAGTCATCAAAATCGTCATCGTCGAGCTCGTCATTGAACCCATTATCTTGATCATGAAATGAATGGTCATCGGACCCGTCATTTAACTCGTCATCGTTGGGCTCGTCATCGGGCCCCCCGTCATCAAAATCGTCATCGTCAAGCTCGTCAATGAACTCATTATCTGGGTCATGAAATGAATTGTTATCGGACCCGTCATTTAACTCGTCATCGTTATCGAAGCCTTCACCTATCTCAGACAAATAATCCAGCCGAGTATCTTTGCCAAGCTCTTCTCGTGTCTTATCTCTGTAAGAAAGTGTAGATAAAGAGAAGAATAACAAAATAGAAAGGGGAGGACAATGATAGATCAAACCTGGAAATTTCATACGAAAATTTGTTTTCTCTCGTAAAAAGTATTTCATATGTTAATAAAGTTATTTTAATTTTCATAACAAGTGGGAATAAGTAGGACGAGTCGTTCTAATCGGGCCAGTGCGTTCGGGAGCTCTTTAGCGGTTTTGCTCCTCTTTCCTCCTTCAACATGAACTTCCATGGACTCCAGCCCGGGCTTTTATAGTTTTTAACTGGTCAAAAATGGAAATGTACTTTTCATCCCCCTCCTATTACCTCAATGCTTTCATGATTATACATTGTATATAGCTTACCCTTTGGGCTTCACCTCTTCTCTCAGGACGTTCTCGTCAGCGATTCTGTTAATGAGGGCACTCAGTTCGTCCAGGCCATCACACACCCTACGCGTTGGTACACTGTAAGATAAATTCAGCCTGGTAAGTGATTCTATTTAACTTACCTAGACGTTGTTATGTCTTTATGGCAATTTTATATGAGTTTATGAATGGTGCTAACTGTTGATTTTATGGGCAGTATAATACACTGTCGCTCATATAGTTGGAATATTTTTGTTTACCTCATGCCCATGCCTTGAGCCATAATGCACGGTCTTATAGAGGATTTGTTATGTTGGGGACCGGGTAAAATTCAATGAATTATTGATAATTTATTGCATTTTCTTTGTTGTTTTTTATTTGTGGGAACTGTCCCCTACCCAAGCCGGCCCTGTTGCGTACAGTCATGGTTCAGTGGCAAAGCAATGGCCTCGTAACTGTGATGCCCCAGGATCAAAACCATGTCGATGTGCTATATTAGTGCCCTTTTGTGGGGCATTAATCCTCATTACTGTCATTTATGACTTAAGGGCGTATGTCCCCTAGTTGATAAGAATAGTAGCATACACTTGCTTTAGCAGTCACGCAAAAAAAATACTGGCAAATTATTATTCAATAACATCTGAAAATGTATACTATTATCTAGATCTATTAGGAATAAATCATTGTCAAAATAATTCCATAAATTGGGGTAAAAACAAAATATTCCAGCTATATGAGCGACAGTGTACGTTGTAGTGAACTTTACTGAATATTATCAATTTACAGGTTACTTAAACTCTATTTTACACTCCATTTCCCTTTCATAAATATTTGTGTATCTCTCTCTGTTGAAATGTAAACTTATCTTGCTTCCAGCTTTCTTTTATTTATTTATTTATTGATGCATGTTCACACTTTCACAATTCACTGGAGTTAACAACACATGAAAAAGATTATAATATAACAAATTATTTTTAATTTTACTATCCATTTGAATTGACTTCAAGTGAAAAATAATACAACAATGTTATATCAAAGACAAGTAGCAAAATGTTATGTTTAGTTTCAAATGTGTTCTTCATATGCGTGGTTCATCGTTTTACTTAAACATTTAGGATGCACTTGTCCAGCTAATACTTAGCAAAGTTAAGAGAATTTATAATTATTAATATTTTACTCTGGAATTTGAGAGAGAGAGATAGTGGAAGTGAAATTGTATGTGTATGTGTGTGTGCGAGAGAGAGAGAGAGAGAGAGAGAGAGAGAGAGAGATAGAAAGACAGGGGGGGGCAGTCAATAGAGGGTAGGGTAGTAGTAGGTAAGGAATCAACAAGTGTCTAATAATGCGTGGCACGGTATAAACATATATAGAGCACCACCTCACCTGGCACTCTTTAATGGGAGGTCTCGAGTCTCGTTCATTGATTGTGAGATCTGGTCGAGGATTGCATTGCCCACTTGAATTCTGAATGTCATCTTGATTAGTTGAGGGAAAAACCTCACGAGTTGCCGGAACATTGTGCTGGGCTCACCCTTGACCTCACAAGGCGTGATTTTGACACTGCCAAGAATGGATAGCTCTGTAACTCCTTGGAACCCGTGTACCCTTTTGTTGTTGTTGTTAGAAGGTGTCGGATATTATGTATAAAGAAGAAAATTAATGAGTATAACTACAATGTGCAGTTCAATGTATTTACAATACAAATATTCTTTTTATTCACTTGTCTTATGCTACGGTCACAAAGTTTCGTACAAACGATAATTTCGTACGAATCTCCCTGTTTTTCCATTGTCATCCCGAATTTCCATTGTCTGAAAAATCGTTCGTACGGCGTTAGTAGCAGTTCGTAATGGCATTTGTGATCGAGGCTTTAATCAAGATAAATATCATCAAGTATTGAATATATACACTTTGCACAAATTCTTAACTTGTCAGTCGATCATAAAACTAATACAAATTAATACAAAATCTCATACAGAAAGGTGAAAAAAACTTTCAATATGGTAATTGAAATGTTATGTTATGAAGGCTAAAAGGAAAGAGATGGGTTGAATTAGATTCGTGTGCTCGTTCATATTTATCGTGTGTTCGTGCATCTCTCTCTGTCTCTGTCTGTCTCTCTCTCTCTCTGTATGTGTAAATATATATGAACACACAAATGTGTGCAAATTTATATGAAAACTCACACTTTATGTATATATATATTTATATATGTCAACCGTTTTAAATATACTACGTACGGTTTCATTTATTTTCTTCTTCACTTACACACACACACGCACGCACACGCACACACACACACACACACACACACACATCCCACACTATTTATATACAGAGAGTCACAGACGGGGGGGGGGGGATAAAATGAATGTACATATGAAGAGCTTGATTCCAAATAAATTCAAAATCGGTTTCATTCCAGAAGGAGTGAAATCCAATTGACCAATCAGTTTATGTTGAATTTCCATTTTAGTTCATTTTTATCTGAAGTTTAACAAAACCAGTTTAAAGATAAAGACCAGTTATGGTCATGCGATTGCATTGTGAAAGAAACGTTGTGGAATCGATCAAAAAAGGTTTATCATCTAGCATATAAGTATTGGTGTGTACTGCAAGGTTCTGGAATCATTAAAATGATAAGAAATTTGGCCCAGTCTTCATAAAGTTACAAGCACTGTACACAGAAAGATGTATATGGGACTACGCACACGTGCGCGACACGTGCGTTTATCTCTCACAGTCCAATAGATAAGCTAATTTACCAAATATATCAATTAGTAGGCGGTTTCCCGGCAAAATTGTTACCATCATGTATTAGTCATAACATATTCTTTCACATGATTGGTAATAAAGAGCTTCCATTTAATTTTTTGAAATTGGGTCGTTTCCAATAGATGGAGGTTTCAAGCTCAGAATTACAATCTAAAAAAAAGTTGCAACATTGATTGTATAGGAAACATTATGCATATTTTTGTTTAATACTTGACTGGTGCAACTGAAATTAATTTATCCAGTTTAGAAGAAGAGAAAAGAGATCACTGTAAATCCACTCTCAATGCAGTTTTGATTTTGTTTAAACATTGATAGTGCTTTTTACTCTTCGAGTCATGATGATTATTGGTTTTCAAATGAAAACTTTGAATCATAATATTTTTGTCTAATTGTTACATTTATTTATGGACTGCACGAAATGTTCTTTGTGGTGAAAAAATGGTGAGAGAGAATATTCTCGAAAGTTAACAGGTTGCGCGATAGGATAATGTCTGTATAAAAGATTTGTTCTTCTTCAATAAAGTCACTGAAATTTATTCAAATTTAGTAGCAAACCTTTCCTTTTAAATAATAATAATGAGATCACAACTAAAAAAAACCTTCCGAAAGAAGGTAAACAACATATTACAGTTTCATTCGAAAAGGAGCTTGATCCGTTTAATTCCAAAAGGGGCTAAATCATTATTTCATTGCAAAAGGAGCTAAATCCACGAAGAAGAAAAAATCTACAAATTTATCAACAAACAGAAATAACTTGTAGATTTGTTTTAATCGTATATTAGAGGTCCATGATGAAACATTTAACATATATAACAAAATGAAGGTATAATGGCTCAAGGGAAAGTGGAGAAATAATAAAAAAAGGCGATTTACTGAGAAGTACCCGAAGTGGATTAAGCTCCTTTTGGAATGAAACTCTTCATATACATGTATATGCAAACAAATGCACACGTATCAATCTAAAAGAAAGAAAGAAATCCATTACCTTTGGATGAAGTCACACTCGAAATCACGCCGAAAGCAGATGGACAACTTCTCCACACTGTTAAACATGTCACCACACGACTGCCATGCAAGCATCGTGCAGTCGTCTACTATCAACTCACGTAGAGAGGTATGAGGTGCTGTGCTCTGATTATTAACCTTAATCATACAAATAATAAAAAGGATCAAGCCCTTTTTAAATTTATTGTATACTATTATCAATAAAGTTGGAAGACCTCACTCTGTTGAATAGCATCATCAGACAGGTCGAGAAGGCAATAGGCCGAAAAATTTAGAAATAGGATAGTACAAAAGGCAAAACCGATCCTAAAGAATAATCAGCACCCCTTGAACAAAAATTCATTGGTACTATGATCCTACTAGGCGTTGTAGCGTGCGCCTGTAATCCAGCTAAAAGTGGAAGTTACAAACTGATTCAGCTGACTGAGCTGAGGACGCAGGTTCGAAACTGAGTCACGTCTTTCGGATGGTGACGTTTAAAGGTCGGTCCCCAGACGTAAATAATCATATCTGATTGATTCACGTCTGTAAAAACCCAATACACACACCATCTACTTCTTGGGTGTCATTTTGTTCATTGGGATCCATTTTATCATAAAAAAGATGTTCCCAAGAAAAAAAACTCATATGTAAAAATATCAGGGGGGAGGGGGGGGGGCGGGCACATTCCCCCCCCCGAAATTTGAAAATTTGACCAATCGAACATTTCGTTCCGTTGGGGGGGGGGGGGGGGGGGGGGTAAGGTCACCCATTAGCATATTTTATTTTTATGTTTATAATTAAATTTTATAACAAAAATGAGAGGGGGGTTTCCTCCAAAACACACCAACAAAAAATTGAGGGGGGGGGGGAGGAAGGGTTCGACCCCCTCCCCCTGCGTACGCGCCTGGTATCATGGAATGTACCGTCGCTGGGTTTTTAGAGATTTGCCCAAGTGACCTTTGTCTGGTCATGTAAAGATCTCAGAAGTGGCTTATTATATACCTTTGCCGACGATACAATCGATGCCCATTTCGAAAAGAACTCTTCGTGTAGCATATTGTTGCACAATTCCAAACTCTCTAAGTGAGGCATCTGACAGATGAACTCAGCCAGTGCACGTGATGGTAGTGGCTGGTCATGGAGGTCAGCGAAGCAAATCTTCAGGTTCTGAATCTGCCATAAAAATATGAAATATTTAAATATTTAAACTACACAATCCATTCAGAGAACCATTTTTCCTCTAAGATATGATATATTTATTCATTATATTCATGTACTGTATTGATATTATAATTTTCAAATATATGGATTTTCATTGTTTATATATTTTTATCATGGTTAGTCTTTCACAAATAAGCCACTGGACGGGAAGAAAATGCTTAAAACTCTTCCATTCATCTGTCACATTAAAAGGAAAGTAATACGCAAATTACTGTGCTGCCATCAATATACTATTTCAATGAAATAAATAAAGGTATTTCTTAAGAAATATTGAATCCCAGCGTAGGCTGTTTACAGTGTTTGGAAATAAATATTTTACATAAGATCAGAACAGTATGAATTCAATGGAAGATTATATAATTAAATTAAAAATATTATATAGGCCTATTATTGTATCCATATGAATTCTAAATGAAGATTATTAGGATTGAAAAATAATTATATCCAGTAAATATATCACTGATAAGAAGGAGAAAAACATCACATTTATTATGTAATAACCTTGAAATAACCATATTCTCACATATTATACATTCACCGGAACGAGTGCTTTTAAACGATTTTTAGAAATACCTTATCTGAAGATGCCATTGACTGGGCTGTTTTGTAGAAATCGTTATGAAGCTTGCTGGAGCCCAATCTCAAGGCTTGAAGTTGAGGCAACTTGCAAATGAATTGGGCAAGATCACGTGACTCCGATGGTTGCTTTCTGAGGTCAGCGTTTAAGATCATTAGCTTCTCAATCTACAACCAGTGTCATGATATCGTTGTATAGTTATTTTGTTATTACTTTAAAGTATTTTTGAAAGAGCATTAAATGTTCACATAGTATGAAATAAATTCATTAAAAAAAAAAGGATATACAAATAAAAAAAAAGAACATAAAAAGGTGTCTTCATTCGACAACATTCATAAAGGAAATTAGATTGGAAATAAAATATCTTTTCTAAAACATCTGTGCCGTTTTGTATGATATTTTTGGGGGAATAATTTCTTCGTTTTGTTTTTTTGAGAAAGGGAATACGAGCAAATGGTTGGACTTTTCAGCGACGCCTAATACCTTTCAAACATGGTAGATGACTCTATTTTCTAACCTGTTATACTCATTTACCTTTTGAGATGGTGCTAGTGAAGCTACAGCGGAGTAGAAATGTTCATGAATCTTACAGCCGGTAGTAGAAGTAGTAGTAGTACTAGTAATATTAGTAACATTAGTAGTAGTAGTAGTAGTAGTAGTAGTAGTAGTAGTAGTAGTATAAGTAGTAGTAGTAGTAGTAGTAATGTATAATGTAATAATAGGTCAATTTATATAGCGCAGCTACTATATGAATATATTCTACTGCGCTCAATACAAGGTATCATATTATTACCCCGGCTGCGCATATTTTTTTTACACAATTATTGTTTAGCCAGGTCAGTCAAATAAACTGTGCAAACGACTAGAGACAGAGTCTAACATTACCCTTGGCAGTATTTTTGGATTGCAGGAGCTGTACATGTGTACATACTCGTTATGTCTTTTTTTCTTCGTTATGTATTTCTTTGTTTCTCCTTCAATCGTTGTTCTTTATTTTTTCCTTCAATTTATTCAGTTGTCCTTCGTTTATGTATTTGTTTTTTCTCCTTTATTCTATCCTCTTCTCTTTTGTTTATGTATTTCTGTGTTTCTCCTTCAATATATACTTTTCCCCTTCGTCATTTATTTCTTTCCTTCAATCTATCCTTTTCTCGACCTTCTTTATGTTTTTCGTTGTTTTGCCTTAGTCTATACCCGAATTTATAATCCTCTTAGCTCTTCCGTTATGCATTTCTATGTTCTTCCTTTGACTTCCTCTTCTCTTTCCTTATGTATTTCATTGTTTTCTCTTTTCTATCATCTTCCCTACCCTGGGTGTAAGTGCTTGCACATGTACAATAGTGCGCTGACGACTTAGACTCTTTCACCAAAGCACTTCTAGGAATATTTTCGTAACAATGGCTAAACAGTTGTGTACAAAAAAATATGCGCACCCCGGCTGTAGCTGACCTGCCATAATAAGGCGCTAAAGCATTTGATGAATTTCTTCCTACCAGGTGCCCATTTACTTCACCTGGGTGGAGAGTGGCAAATATATTTCAATGTCTAGCCAAAGGACATTAATTATCGCGGCGGGACTCGAACCGCGCACCATGTGATCCATAGTCAAGTGACGTATCCGTTAAACTATGACACCTCTACTACTAAACTACATTATGCACTGTAAAATATCGATACGAGCATATTGTAATTACATTGAAGAACCTACCCGACATTGTTGTACCTTATCAGCAAGCATTGAGTAGAAGACAGCATCCAAGCTTGAGTTAATCGTCATGATTTTTAATGAAGCCGATGACAGGATAAATTCTGCTAGATCCTGCGAAGCTGTGTGGCCACATGTCTTTTGCAACACAAGGGAGTCCTGTCAAGTAGAAAGATAAATATATCTATGACGAGATAGAGACATATTAGGAACCAGCTCTGTGACATATCCAAAGCTACCACATGTAGTTGCCTCTAGAGCTTTTTCCTAATACTTTGCACCAGCTTGATGACTTTGTTCAGCTTAAAAAAAACGTGATATGTTTTAACATTTCTGGTAGGGCATAATGTGTAGATCGGAAACTGTATGACTATGTAGCGCCTCAACACATCAGTATTTCTTGTTGATCATCATAGCTAAGCACCGACGAAATGCACTGTGAAATATTTTATAGCGGTTTGAAAAAAAGTAATATTGCTCTTTGTGCACCTAAACAAATTTGGTGCAATCGCGGCATAACATATAATTCGCTTTTAATGGATTCTAGACATTTAATTGAGGAAAACGCAATATGTCAGCGCTTAACATTACCCCTATAATTAGAAAAGTTATAACGATGACAATATATTTGCTGTAGTCCTGTATCGGACATAAAAAGGACAATATAGAAATACCCATACTTCTAAGAGGGGATTACATTTGGAGCCTTTGTCTGCTAGATCGTTCTAACTAAGGCTTTCGTGATATACCACGAAATTTACATTATGTTTAGATATGTTTTGCCTAAGAATGGAGAGACAGAATTTATTACCACTTCACTCAGATAGTCCTTGATGAACAGATATCCAGAGACCGTATGTGCTGAACAATGCTCATGGATCTTCAAGGTTGTCCTGCTTCTCATGAGTTGATTCCCCACTTTCTCGGCTACTGATTTGTGTTGGCTCTCGTACGCTACATCCACGATAAAATCCTCTTTTCTTTCTTGGGGAATGAGACTTCTTACAACTCCCTTCGAAAAATTGAGGCGTCTATTGAATCGACTCAACTCTGTATTGCTCTTATACGCTTCATCCATATAACCTTTCGCTTCTTGGTCAATGAGACGAGTCACAATGTCCAGGCCAAGCTCCTCCCTTTGAGCAGACGTAAAGTAGAGCAGATAACGACACTCCTCTTTTTTTGCAGTCATGATGTCAGTCATGATCCTCTCATATCTGTCGTGATCTGAACTGTGTAGTGATGCCAGATACTTGGCCGCCATAAACTCTTGGAAGAGCTTGTGAGGAAACTGCACCATGGAAATGTCCAAATTAGGGTCCATCCGTCCGTCACATGTTAGGGTAGCAGGCTTCTCTCTTGTCAGGACTCCAACTTTACAGCCCAATTCCATAGAATCTCTGCAACCCTCGAAGGTGTCTTCAGGGAACTCTAGACGTCTGTCTAAAATCCCCTGATAAGCAATTTCGCCAATCACTTTCAGATGATTGGGAATCATCTGACGGAGCTCCTGCACAGTTGGACCTGTCTGAGAATCATCCTTGGATCCACAATGGTCTACCAGAAAGTTGACCATCTCATCAAACAGTTGTGAAAATGTCATCAACTTAGACAGTGCTTCTCGTCCTTTCTCGTCCGACATCCTCCACATGATGCACAACAAAGCGATGTAGATCGGGAAGGGTGCCATGTAATCGGCAATGACATCGTTGCTGTAGATTAAATCGATCAGTTCTTGTGAGGAAGCTGCGTCTCCGTTAAAGAACTTCGTGATGTACGCAGTACCATTGTCAACCGAGAGATCTTCTATATATATGAACGCATATACTTTCTTAAGTTCAGTGCTGCTGCAGATGGCATGCCCCCTCCACTGTCGCGATGTTACCAAGACCGTGCCGGACATGAACAGCCGGTTGAAAATGATCTGAACGATTTGATGATCGACTGATAACTTACCCCAAAGCTCGTGTAGACCATCAAACACCAGAAAGACGTTTTCCTGATTTGATAGGATGTATTCATCTATCTGCGCTGCTGTAAACGGATTGTTGTCAGATAGGTAGGATTTGATAACTTCACCAACTGTCTTATTCTTGGCCTCGCAGAGGGGAATCACAGCAACTAACTTGAACTGCTGAAAGCCAAGATCATGGGCCCAATCCCAAGCTATCTTGGAGCAGAATGTCGTCTTTCCTGCTCCACCTCCAGCTTGTACTAGTAATCGATTTGGCAATTGTCCTTTGATTTTAGTCTTGAGGAGGTTGCAATAGAGCAGCGGATTCCTAATCGTTTTGTCGTTTCTATCTTCTTCGCTCAACGTCGGATCGGTGTAGATATGGTTGAACTCGAACATTACGTCATTATTGGTTGGGTCTGCTTCAATGGTACACATATTGAGTATGTAGTACTTCTTGATGTCTTTCACAACACTCTTCAATAGGTCATGTTGTGGAAGATCATCGGAAGCTAGACATAAAATGAAAAGAAGAACTAAAAGTAATATTGTCTTCTAAATGTTCATGCACCTATTCCTAAATGTTTGCTGAATTTTCTTAACATAGGCGATGCATGCAACACAGATAATCTCTCAGTGTCGCGTTGTACATTGTTTTTATCATGGGATAGATATGCCAAAAGCCTTAAAAACCATTTAACCGATTCCAATGCGAGAATAATCTACACGTGTTTTCAGGATTGCCATGGGGCTAATCAAAACTGGAGGTGCCCAATTTTGGAGAACTATTGTTTTGCAAAAAGTAGGTAATCCTTCTGTCAATCACAAATTGGTCCCTATTCTTTTGTGCCGATCTGCACGTATGACAAACGAGTGCAAATCGGCACTGATGGCAAATGAAAAGTTTACGACTTTCCTATTATATCTTATATACATTTCAGGCAAATCATTATCAAGATAATAGATTCATGCTTCGTGACCTTTTTCATGGTTGTACTTCCCTTAGACGTGAATGATTGGAAAACAAATTTGATTCAACTACATTTAAAGAAAAGTAACATGATCGACAGAATGGCTCCTACAATTTTGACTGCATAATAATAATGTTAACATTTATATGTCATTTCATGTGTAGGGAGCCACATATAGCTCCGTTTAGTCTCATTTCACAACGCCCCCTATCGTCAGAGTCAGCAGCTATACATGTTAGCCTATGGACGTTTTTTTTAAAATCGTTCAAAATTTATTTTTTGTTTAAACGAAAAGCACATCCACCCCGACGTACGTTATCACTAGCTCTTTCATTGGAGCCTTCATGTCTCATTGACTTTTGAAAGTTCACCCACCGTAATTTTTCAAAATAGGTTGCAAGCTCGCCATTGCCTATAATACACATGTGAAACAAGTCGAAATTTGGACTCAGTCTGCCAAGTGATTGTAAGATTATAGGTAAAGCACACGAAGGATAAGAAGCATGAATTATCAATTATCACTTCTGCTATGTTCATTATGTCCATTTCATCCAACCCCCCACCGTAATTTTTCTGTTAAGTAAAAGCAAACATTTTGCCGAGTTAAAGGGATTCAGTAAATTTGTCCCAGATTCTGAACCAAAATTCTGGATTTAGCTCATGCTGCAATGATAATTATAAACCTTTAGGTCAGTCAGAAACCCCATGACTTTTACAAGCCGATCGCCTGTCTGATTATTAAGATATTTATGATTGGAATTACAAATTTTGAAAACCGTTCGCCTGACGGTTTTCATAGCACTACAGTCTATTGGGGAAAACGAGTATGGTAAAACCGGTCACTCAAAGATTTTTACTTTTTGAGGCACTTCTTAATCATTTTGAAGCGCGATTTTTGTAAGGCTTCAATATTACACCATATCACAGACACTGGTAACATGTAGGACCGTGTATCTGAGATTTAATATTGTTAAACGATCCCTTTAAGCAAAAGCACGAATATTCATGAACGGTCAGACAATACAGCCTTTTAGTACTAACGTATAGTGAATGGGAACGGGCGATGATCCGTCCAGGAGGTAGAGGTCAGTGTTTTGTGCTGGCAATGTTCACGCGAGCGAAAATGAGACAATCGGAGCAATATGAAACCGATGGCCATCCTTGCCACCTTAAAAATGTGCTCTAAACGGCTTTTTTATTTTCCTAATTTTGTCGAATTATTTTGAACAAAACAACATTAATTTAAACTGTGAGTACACACCGGTTTGGAGTTTTTGAACCTTCGGGGTCCGGATGAAGATATTTGCAATTCTTACAAGTCCTGCTAGCTTCAAAGCATCTGCAAGAGCTGGTCGTTCCGTTGCCTCTGTTTGGCTATCTCGCCAATTGCGGAGCATCTTCAATGTACCATCATACGTCACATGCTGATAACGGGTGTTCGTGGCTATGTACCTCTCAATTTCGGCCGGATCAAAACCAAGGGCTTGCCGAGATTATCTATAGCCATGTTGCCTCCGATGCGACTCGCCACGTCTTTTAAGATGTCATCAAAGTCTTCTTCATTTTCGGAATGACTCCTTAAAATACATATAAATACAATTATCATGATAGTACACTATGTCGAGTCTTTGTTATGAAATTCAGTATTGATCCTATCATGAAACTGTCTGGAGGTTAGGATTATATCTTTTAGTTGATTGTGAGGACTAATAGGACTTGGTAAATAAGACTTAGATTATATTGACCAAAATTGAACTAGACAGACATGAGGAACCAAATGAGGCTGACAAATTTGGATATTTAATGCTGTAATTTATGCTGACACTCCCCATCACTATCATGAACTACTTATAAGATATCGAACACTAACTTAATTAAATTAGTCAAGGTTTAGGTCGTCGAGAAATAGAGGAGGAGTAGGAAGAGGAAGAACAAGAACAAGAAGAAACAAAGAAAGTGTAGAAGAAAGAAGAAGTATAGAATAACAACAAAAAGAAGAAAAACAATAAGAAGAACAAGAAGAAGAAATATAAAAACTCAGAATGTCAGTATAATTCAAATAGATAGAAATTATAAATCAGTATCACTTACGAATGCTTGCTTTTTGGTCCAGGGTTGGATTCCACATCTCCAGACATCATGAGGATAGTCTGTGTGATGTGAGGTTTACCGGCTTCTTTAAATTTGAGGTCTTGGGAGGGCTGAGTGGTAGATGAATTTATCATTATGATGGTTGCCAGCTAGAAGAGATAACGTTATTATTGTTATTATTACTTTTGTTTTTATTATTATTATTATTATTATGACCTTTAATATCATTATTAATAGTACTTTTATAATCATTATTACGATTGATATTCGAATTACTTCTTTAATTTTCTCATTATTATTAATATCATTATGATTACTATTAGTATTATTATTATTATTATTAGTAGTAGTATCAATAGTATTATTATTACTACTACTACTACTACTACTACTACTACTAATACTACTACTATTATGACTTCATGATTATGGTCATTATTGTCACTTTTAAAACGCACATACATATTTATTTCAGTGTTTGGTTGAAGAATAAAGAATATGTAAGTTGATACTGAATGTTGAAGTGAAGACAAAGGGAGAGTGGATGTCTGGAATGTGCCATTGGTGGTACAGAGTAATTAATTCAGCAAAACCAAAAGTTTTCCAAGTGAAGATGTTGCCTCAGATCACCAAGCGGTTATTTGCGATTTCAAGCTACGGTTCCAAACTAAACCCAAACAGAACAAAATGAAGAGATGTGATGTGTCAAAACTGAAAGATGAAACAACATCAAACAAACTACCCGGACATAGTCGGAGGGAAGTTCAGACCACTACTTGATCACCTAGACATAGATAGTATCTGGGAAAACATTAAACAAACATTTAACAGCACATCAAAGTATGTTCTGGGAATGAAAAAAGAACAGACCGCAGGAAGCATGGATCTCACAAGAAGTGCTAGATCTTAGCGAAGAATGCAGCAAAATCAAACAAGCAAAACAAGATGACTCTTCACTGAAACCAAGGTACAGCTTTCTGAATAGAGAGATAAAGAGGAAGACTAGGGGCTGTAAAGGTGCGTGGCTCTAAAATCGTTGCAGTAAAGTCGAAAATGCACACCGAGCTGCTAATTCAAAGGAGGTTTATGCAACAATTAAGAAAAACACCAAATCAGCATCAAAGAAAATGTAAATAGTTAAGAGTAAGACAGGGAGAACTCTCAATGAAAAATCAGAAGTAAAAAAGAGATAGAAAGAAAACTACAACGAACTATATTATAAACACAACCAAAAATGACACAGTAGCAAACAGTCTACCCAACAGCTTTTCAGATTTACCAGAGCCAAACATACTAAAGGAGGAAATTAACAGTGCAATACCAAAAAAAAAATAGTGAGGGCAAGGCACCAGGATTTGATACAGTCAGTTCCGAAGATATCAAACAGCGGAAGAAACAGGAATATAACTTTTTCACTATCTCTGCAACCAAATATTATGGGAATCTGAGAAATTCCCGGAGGACTGGGGAAGAGCAATAATAACCCAAATTGTTAAGATGAAAAATAAACTAGACTGCGGGAGCTACAGAGGTATCAGCCTAATGTTATATGCAGGCAAGATACTGAACATAATCCTATAAAGAAGAATTCTCAAAAGAACGGAAGAAATCTTTTTCTGAATCCCAGGCAGAATTCAGACCAGGAAGGGTTACGGCAGACTAAATATTTACTCTAAGAAAAATAGCTGAACAATACCTGGAAAATAACAGAATCCTGTACTGCTACAATATGGATTTTCGACTTGGAGTGACAGAAGGGCATGTGGAAGGCGATGGAATGTTTTAACTATCCTAGCAAGCTGATACAACTGCTACAAGCACTTCATGAGCAATCCAAGAGTAAGGTCAGTGTAAATGGAGAGCTGACCGAGTGGTTCAAGACAACCGTTAGAGTCAAGCAGGGATGTGTCATCTCCCCACAACTTTTTCATATACTCATCGAGCTAGTTATGATCAAGGCAATGGGTGAAGTCCAAATGGAAGCCAAAATTTAAGGAACACGCATAAATTACCTACGTTTTGCAGACAACATCGTTTAACAGGAAGGGCCCACTAAGATATACTGAAGACACTTGTGGATCAAGTCTACAAATGAAGCTGTGACCTTGGTCTCAAGGTAAACATAGCAAAGACAGAAGTGCAAGTTATTAGCAAAAGGGAGCGCAACATCAACATTGACATATGCAGCGACATACTAAAACAGTTGGAAGAACGGCTCAAGCTCAAGTGACATTAAACGGACTGTACAATGGGAAATACTGGTTGATGCCATCTACGTCTTCTTTTGGACAACTGCACGTAAACGAATGGACTTCATTTAACTGCACTAATGTAGAGGTCAGTGATTGACTAGCGTGCGCGAAAAGGCGCGAAACAGACCGAAGTTCTTCTCACGCTTCGGTTTCACGTATGTTGCACGCACGTGAATACTGCGGTCGCGTCGTCCGTAGATACCCGATTGGCCCCGAGGGCCACGGGAAAGACACATAGTCTCGTCATGCTAACATCTGGACATCAAAAAGCATCAGCAGCCACACGAAAATGCAACTGCAAACATTTATCCTCTCAATACTGCTTCACGCGGCAGATTCCTGGACATTAAAAAAAGAAGATCGCAACAGGCTTCAGATGTTTGAAATGGCATACCTCCGTCTCATAATGGGAGTGACAAGACTAGACAAGAATTAAAAACACACATCAAAGAATCCCTCAACCTTGATTAAGATGTTCTTGACAAAGTCTCCCGCTAAAAGACTCAAATATTTTGGTCACGTCCTAGGAATGAAACCCACAAGATACCCAAAAATGGTTGTTGAAGGAAACGTCACAACAAATCGACCCAGAGGCGGTCCACCCAAACGAGTCTGACAGATGCCTCAAGACTGGATGCAGACAAAAACACCTGGCTTACCATCACCATACGGTCCCCTGCCCGTGGACGGCATATTAGTCAATAAGTCAAATACCAGGGATTATTGTGCTGGCCCAGTATAATGTTGATAAATAGGAAGGTATTACTAAACACCTGATTCGAGCCTATGGCCCGAATTCACAATGGAGATTTGTCGACAAACGTAGGTTTATGTGGGTCATATGACGCGTTTCAACCCGTTTTTTTAAAAAAATGCGTCATATGACGCACATAAACCTAGGTTTGTCGACAAACTTCCCTTGTGGATTCGGGCCAACGTGTCGAGGGTTGGCGTGTTGCAGGTAAATTCTGAGACTTTGCCATACCTCAATTCATTGTCAAGATGCATAGAGGATTTGGTTCTGCTCTGCAGACATTGCTGGGTATACTGAGAGACAGGCGGTTTCGGTTTTGCTGGCATTTTTTAGTTTGTTAATACTGCAACCATCGTTGAGTGATTTGAATGGAATATGTTACATTGTATCACTTGGTTATTTGTTCTTGTTTGATGAAATTAAACATGACGCTGTGAGATTTCTTTTTAACTTAAAAATAATAAAGTGTCTTTCACTTATACACTCCGGGGCCCGTACGGCGAGTAAAAACAGACATTTTGGGAATTTTTGGCCAGTGTCCGGCCTGCTGCCGTAAAGTTCCTACGGGCGCCTGGACAGTTTTTTAAGCCGTACGGGCGCCGTGGTGCTGAGTTTGCTGCTCCTATATTCCCACGGCGTTTTGAACTGACCGTTAGGCCGTAGAAAGCCCGTAAAAAGCCGGTAGGTAACGTTCCGGGTCCCTTGCGGGCTCCTGATGGTGCTCGGAAGGGTCTCTCACGTTTTGTTTTGGTTAAGGTCCAGGAAAGTGAGTGAGAAAGGGGTCTGAGTATCTACGGATATGATGCAGGTTGTACAACATTCATGCCCGTCCTCTGAGACTGGTCAAAGTTGAGTCACAGCTAATATCGGCTTGAACAAAATATACTCCCGATGATGTGTCACAGTGTTAAAAAGTAACGTAACGGAAGTGATAATTTTGTCCGCCTTGATTTAACATCTTAGATGGGCTATGACAAGTCATTATCAGTAATCTCTGTATCATAATTTACTACCAAATGATCAAATCTGAAGCGCTTGTGGTATGAAATACTTAAACATAAATGTAGGAGGTTTGGGCAAAAAATGTTGCCATAATTTGCCCCAAACGTGATTTTTAAAAAAAGTCAATCATGTCTTTATTGGCATACCACTATAATCGAAGAGCTCGTTGAGTTTTTTTTTCAAGTTTGATACTAATTTGCCATGGTAGCCCGTTTTTTTTTTTGAGCTATCGCCAATCTTATGAATTGTTGCAATTAAAATTTCCACGGGCTTTTTCAAATATATCGAATCATCTCATCTAATTATTTGAACATATTTAATATTGGAATGTTATGTACAATCCGAAAAAAAGAGGAAATGACGATTTACATTTGGAAATGTTGGTATTGGCAATTATCCTTCTTACTTCTTAAAAGAGTTATCGTTATGTTTAATATTATCACGCGAAGTTTCAAGTGGAAGCTTACCGTTTGTCTATTAAAGTCTGTGCAATGTCCAATACAAACGAAGAATCACACGAGGTCTTTAATCTTTCCCCTCATCAGCAGTGTTTACTGTGTTAACTAAATGCATCCCAGCTTCCAAGGATTCACACGTATCTTGTTCAAATTTCAGTCAAAGTAACATGTTTATCAACTCACTTGAAACGATTTTTCTCGAAAGATACTTTTGTATAGCGCGATCAGAAACGCGAGAGTTGGTGTTCATTAAATGGCGAATCCATTACTGGCAAATTAGCGAAACACGCAGTGCTCGGAACACAATTGCCTCAGAAATCAATCTCAATACAGATTCCATGTCAGTGTGCAGAAACATGTTATTATCAATAATCCGAGTCCCATGTAGCCTCTTGTCGATGGCCCTGGCGCTGTTGGAGTCCGTACATTCTGGCGAGCGAAGCGAGCTAGAAACGAGGCGCTAATTATAAGGCGCTAAGAAAACGAAAGGCAAAGCCAAAGGGGTGCGTAAATCGACCTAGTACTGTAAGGTGGTAAAGAGTATGCGTATTCTCTCATGGCGTACGCCAAAATGAAACCTTCCAGATGAAATGATGTGTAAAGTCGTCGTCATAGCGATGTTAGCCTTTTGACAAGGCCTCGTGACTCTGGCTGTTTTCCACCCAAATCAGCGGCTGAGATGAATCTAGAGACCCATGGTGAACGCCCAATCGAGTGGCGGTAGCTGTGCTTCTGCCTCTGTCGTTCATTCGGGTTTTCGCGATTAGTCTCTTTTTAGTCGCTCGGTGTCTATCAGACATGTGGCCTTGTTCAAAGGCTATAGCGATGTCAGCATGTATTTGAATTCATATTTATTGCTTAGTCAGTCGGAACAACTATTTGTGATGCAAATCATATACTAGACCCGAGCTAGCTATCTGGGAGAGTATTGCATACAATAGGGAGCTTAACAGTGACAGAGAAAGAGCGAGAGAGAGAGAGAGAAAGAGAGAGAGAGAGAGGGGGGGGGGGGGGGGGGGGGGGGGGGGAGAGGGGCAACGCAGTCCAAAACATTATAAATATAGAATGAATATAATTGGGCATCGTGAATGCCAATGTTCTTTGGTCCCTGGTCCTATCAGGGAGGTGTTTATACCCTGGTCCTATCAAAGCTCTCGCAGGGCTGCCAACTTGATAGAATCACCGGGTCTATAAACGGTGGCGAGGTGTAGCAAATAGTCTGCACACACGCACACACACGCACACTCACACACAGGCACACGCACATGATTTCCCATGATATGAAGCTGTACACATCCTTTTTTCTTTCTTTGTGCCTTCGTTCGTAGGCTGGATCTCAAAGAAGGGAAACGCAACACCATGAAATCATATTGTTACGTGGTTGACGCAGCTGGGTTCATGCTAAAGTTAATCATTATGATCAATGTTAGAGATCTCTGTAGCGTGCACGAAAAACATGTCCTTGTAAATGTATTCTGAAGATGAGTTTGTTTGGGGAAGCTTGTTTTGTCGGACATTGTTTTTTCGATCAAAGTTTGCCTTTTTTCTACTTTTGCGCCAAGTTGTGTATTGATTTCAGAAATGAAAATGTAGAAGTAAAATAAACTGATATAATTGTCAATTTGAAGTACTTTGTGTCATTAACTTAATCCTCATAAAGATCTTGTCCTAAAAGGATTTAATAAACTGGAACCAACTAACTTTACATTAACCTTGAAAATAAATAAGATAATACTATAATATTATACATTTTTTTAATTCTCACCAACATACCACCTACCCGAAAAAGTCCTATTACAGTTATATAAATCCATTTTTTAATAAAGTAAGAAATGCGAATATGACTATTATATGTACTCATTTCTTGTCCTATTGATTCAATTTTGCCTAAATCATAACAACGAAACTTTGCTAACCTTACATTTGACAGTTCGTCAGCAATCAGTATACTTACCTTTTCAGTGATAGCATGTTGGCACATGTTAACAAAATGACTTAAAGACTTGCCCGAGGTGTACACGGCATATTAAACAACGCTAACATTACATTACATGGTAGATTATGCCCATATACATGCATGTATGTGACATTGAACTTTAAAGTGAAATTGGTGATAGGGGGTTCTGCCGTAAATTTCCAATGAACTGAAATGAATTAGATGGCGTAAACTGGTTTATTGTTGCAGTATTCGTCTCTCTTGCTCCCCCTCTCTCTATATCTCTCTCTTTTCCTCTGCATTTGGCTCTCTATATTTCTCTCCGTATGGTATGATGCTTAAACATTATGGAGAACAAAACGAAGAAAGAGAACACGGGGAACTCGGGGGAAAACCAAAAATAAGCGGACAAAGAATATGGAGGCTGCGAATCCGTAAACATATCAATTGATATGGAGCTACTCCTATTGATGTGTCGGTCACGGTGGGTAATGTTATCTTGGCACAACTTCCCGATTCTTTTTGTGACAAATTTAATTCCTTTCTTCCATTTTTTTTAAATTGTGAAGGCGACGTTTTCGTTTAAAATTCGAAAAATATACATATATATAAAAGTGCGATAATTCTCAACTCTGACATGACAACGGGTATTCCAGAATATGTAGGCGTAAAGAAAGTACAGCTACGTCTCACGTTCCTAGACCATTTTCTTTACGACTATATATATATATATAAAGGCGTGAAGAAAATGGTCTAGGAATATGTATATATATATATATATACTATGATATTACTAATCCTCTTTTTTCTCTCTCCTCTTCTCTTTTCCCCTTGCCCACTCTTTATCTTGTACAACGCAACATTTGCTTTTCATTGAGACTCCTCACATTTTACATGAATTGCCAGTCGTACCTAAACTTCACTCGAAGCGCCGAGCCTTTCACTCTACACAATACATCACATTAGTTATCTTCCGGTATTGCTTTGTTTGTCTACAGTTTGTAAGAATATCATTTTTGTTTGTATGTGAATGTAGAACAAATACACTTCATACTTCACTTCCACCCAGCTACCCCTCCTCCCTCTAATATATAGTGGCTGTGACCTCTATCAGACAATGTCAAATTCTACATGTTTGTTATCATGAACCCTCAGCTATCAGAATCTGCTCGTGATGGTGGATATGACCTCTGACAAAACAATGATACATGGTTGTTTTCTAGTACCATCAGCCAGGCGCGTACGCAGGAGGGGGGGGGGGGGGGGTAAACCCCCCCTTTGTATTTGTATGTGTGTATTTTGGAGGAACCCCCCCCCCTTTAGGATTTTTTTTTTTAATGAAAAAAAAAAAAAAAAATTATACCAATGGCTGACCTAAAAAGGGTTGACCTGTAATACCCCCCCCCCCCCCAACGAAGCAAAATGTCAAATTTTCAAATTTCGAGACCAAAAAAAAAAAAGTGTCCTCTTACCCCCCCCCCCCCCCCCCCCTCCCCCCCCCCCCCCCCCCCCCCCCCCCTTGAAAAAACCCTGCGTACGCGCCTGCACTCAGCTATCAGAATCTGCCCGTTTTGTCATATAGTTGGTGGTGGATGTGACCAGCAAGGCTGTTACCGATTTGAATTATATAAATACCACATTTCAATGATTTAACAACAAATATAAAATCAAATGAAAGCATTTAAGTTATTGAAATTTTAGCTTCCAGTTTGGTTGTAATCTAATCTGAGCCATTTTAGGTCACGATAAGGTGAACAAAATGTTATTGATCATGTACAGACAATCGTATTATAAGGAATCACCATCTCCAGCTGTCAGTATCTCTCTCTATACTTTACTTATTATTTATAAGTTATATGAATGTAACTCTCTTGCTTATTGATGTATACGAGTGATTTCATTTGTTGTAAATATTTCAATTCTGCTGTAAATGCTACATTATGAAAGGAAGGTGATAGAGAAGAACTGGAAACTCTTGTCATTTATTCAAACGCATGCATGAGTTCTATAGCGTAACAATGGGAAGCGTGACATTCCACTTAGCTTTGAAGTTCCATGCTCCGAGCCGCTCTTCCACTGCGGGGAATTTCTGAGGAATGTCTGAGACCAGGCACCAGTTTCACATTTATCGAATTACCGGCAAAATTTCAATATAAATTATAAACTTTATATGGGGATTGTATTGGGAATAGTGAGTTAAACAATTTTTTTCTTCATATAAGTACTCCGCCCTTCCTATAATTTGTGTGACAGAGTTGGTAAAAAGAAAAATTAGATCCTGAAAAAAACTTAATATTTTAGGAAAACCCGAATATTTTGCATGTTTTAATGTCCCGCCCTTTAATCCATAATTTGCAATCTTCGATAACTTTATTAAAGTTTGCTAATGCGTGCTTTTGCCGTTGAAAAAAGTATGAAATTACAAAAGTTTGTGTTCGCTTGTCTAACTCATTACACATTTAACAATTAATGAGAAATCGTCGAAAGGAACAGCGAACGTTTGCCGGGATACCATTTTCTGATATTTCATGCTCTCTTTTATTTCACCCCCTCGTCAACCGTTGCAGATTAACTTTTCGGCTGCTTGGAGCATGGGGTCAAAGTAAAGCGGCTAGGTTCCACTCCTTCTCTACCACCTCTCTGATTATGATTGTACGTTATGTATACATTCTGTTTATTGCCTCTGTTTATATTGTTTAGATTGTTTTTACCCTTGGCCCTCAAGGACAGCAGTTTCGTTTAAATAAAAAGCCTACACTTTAAAAAAAAAACTGAATTAAAATAATCATATCTCTCTTGCGCTCTATCTCTCGTTCTCTCTCTCTCTTTCTCTCTCTCTCTCTATATCTCGCAATATAAATATATATATATATATATATATATACACACTCCAATATAAACCTAAAGTAGAGGTTATCGTAATTCTTTGATAATTTTGTCATTATTTATTAGCCATATTATAATTGTTTTAATTTTTTTCAAGAATTGTCGAATTAAAAATAGATCAAATTTACATATCTTGAACTCATTCTATCAAGAGCATAATAAAAGGCTGTGCATAACATTTTTTGGCATGGATGAAGCTCCTTTTGCTTGGATGCTAGCAAACAAAGGGGTAGGAAAAACAATTCCAGAGGGCGTTATACACTTACAAACATATTTTGCACATACCATTGTGAATATCATTATGAACACAGGGCTGACTAGGATCAAAGTAGTTAGTGGAAGACCAACTTCATGCCATGTTTACAAAGTTTTGGTATGGGGTCATGAATTTAGTTCAGATGAACATATTGGAAACATATGCGATCCTACAATATTCCGTGATCGTTGTCGCGGTTGAAATCGAGTCTGAAGTTATGAAATTGTAAATAATAAACTCTTCATGTTGTACAGCTCCCTCTCAAGGTCAAGACTAAAATCGACCGATTCGCTATTCCCGTTAGAAAATTATATAT